GTATGAGTGAGCTTCAGACAAGCTCTTGGGGGGGGGGGGCGAGAAGAGATGTCAAGAGAGGTCGTGGCATCTCCGCGTGATTTTGAGCAGATGAACCCGTACGGTAGCGGGGTAGTATTCGATCAGATCGAACCGGGGGCAGTAAATCCCAGAATCTGAATTAACGACGCCAAGGAGACGAACAATTCTCTACCATTAGCTAGGCGTAAGAAAATTCAGAGGAAACGTGTCCCGATCCAATAGTGCTGGTGAGGACTGAGGTGGAAAAACCACAATCACGAGCTTTGCCTAATCCCGCTGCCTCGAACTGAATTACAGGCTGTATGTTCGATGCCTCTCCCTCTCTGATTTTACATCTGTGTCGAGATCGCAGACGAAATCCTGTGAGTGCCCGGGATCGAAAAGTCCCTCCTCAGGAGGGTAACTGACGCGAGTCGGTCAGACTGTAAGTATCATGAATTTAGGAGGAATGCACACGGCCGTACTCCACTCGTCCGCAGCCGAGCACTCAAACGAACAGTCAGTGGAGTTAGTCAAACTCGATGCCGGGACCCCGAGGTGCTCCGATGCTATCGGCTGAGGTCACGACAGGTCGCCAGAAAAATATGGTCAGGGGAGCCGACTCGGAGTCGTCATTGCTAAGTCGTCCCCGTGAGCAGTGAGTATTGCCGGCTATCTTTGCGTGGGATTTTTGATTTCTTATCGGACATACTCGGTAGAAACAGAGACTTCAAGAAGACCTCGCGTGACTGAGGTCACTCGTTCCTCTGTTATCGACGATAGTCTCCCCGGATGAGGTGAAGGGAGTTCTCCCAGATCTGCCGAAAGCGGGCGCATATGATTTCGTTCGAGACGGAGCGCTCATTTAGCAACCAGAGGTGCCTTCGTCAAGAATTGAACCTGAGTACTGAGAGACTGTACTGAGCACGGGACACCGTTCACGCTCCGGGCTCGCAGGTCTCTCGCGGAGCACGAGCCCTGTGCGGATCTCCGAGGGGCGAATACTCAATAATTATGAAAATATTCCGCGTCAAAGTCAAACTTTCTTTTTAGATTTATGCGTTCCCGCAGCCAAGAGACATGACTGAAACATTGGCACACGTGAACGAAATAGATATGGTCGTACTCCTTTCGGCAGTTATAAGTTTCCGTTCCAAGAAACCGATAAAAGTGCAACATTGACCAATTTCTCGCCGTTTTTTTCTGGACATTTCAAGGTAAAACTTCACAACGTAGGGGGAATCCCTTCGGAAGCGGATTCAGCGCAAGTGAGCGCAGCCGACAAAGTCAAGGTCGATGATTAGTCACCGGGATCAGGTCCCTTCCTCTCGATAATCTCCGGGCCTCTCGAGATGGGAATGTCCTCAAGAATAGGAATGTCGTACTCAAGGAGTCAATCAAACTACATTCTAGTAGAATGTCTCGATTCGGCGGTTCCTTCTCTTCCTGTCGTCATCTGCTCTAGCCTCGCGAGAAACACGTGTATTTCACGTACTGTTCCATCGATGGCTGCGTCATTGAATCGGGAGGATTTTCTGGACCTCCATCCTCGTTGAGAGAAGATTCCTCTTTTTTCCGCTTCCTCTATATCGAGTCAAGGAATTTCGTTATTACTTCCACGTGGGAAGACAGTCGTGTGAATCACGTGACTCTTTCCGAATCCTCATGTTCTGTTCCTTGTTTCCCACCACCGATTATGAACACGTTTTGTCATGCGTTCGCTCTCTCGTTTCCGGTTTCGAGACACGCTTTGCCTGACCTCGCTCAGATTCGCTTCCGTGAATCGGCATGTCTCGTTGATGCTGCGGACAGCTAGGATGCCCCACACAACACCTAGTTTGGTCCAAAACGCAGCACTATTACGACCGGATATAGCGACTTCGAGTCACATGGTCTCCTGCTTCACGGATGCGCTTCTTTCTAGAAATCAGCCGATAATAGTGAGAGCGATCCGATGGCGGTCGACAGCAGAGAAACACTTGAATAATGTTGATAATAATAATATTGCTCTCACAGAAAATTTTGATTCAGATCTGGTTCTTCAATTTGATCGTTCATACGCTCCCCTGCAGATCCATGCGGCACCAGCGAGGGGCGGTTGTCCCCAAAATGAAAGATATCTGATACGTCTCGATCCGAATACACGACAAGAATCGCCATCGTGAGGCTCCCTGATGATATACGTGCTTCGAGAGTTCTTTTTTTTTAATCTTCGGAAGCCTGGCCCGATAGGAGAATATATACCGCATAACATTGTGTGTAAGCCCTCGACAGTCCGCTGATTTATGTAATCGGTTGGACGAGTCGACATTTTTTAAATTCATGAACTTCCCATCGTCGTCGCTCGCTGCTTTATCACAGGGGTATTTGACAACGTCGACGGGAACCTCTATACTGTTCTCGCATACGCTATGCGTACATGCGTCAGGGATCGAGCTTTTTATATGATGAGAGAAGGGTCAGTTTTGAGTGATGAGGGCTCGCTGCGATCAGATTTCTACCATCATTGCTTGAGTCGGACGAGCCTCTATCTACTCCTCCATCGCTGAGGTGCGACGAGTATTCGGCTCGATCACGTTCCGAAACATTGACTCACGCCTAAATCGCACAGAAAATTTCCCTCCCCACGTGAGTGCCCAAGATCTTGAATAAGGTTCAAGAGCGATCGGGAGCTTGCGGGAACACAAGGCATTCACGGCGTGTACTATAGCGCGACTTGGAACAAGATTCCGAAAGTGCGGGTCTTTTTCCGAGAGTAAACTAGAGTTCCCTCAGTCGGTCCGACGACCTCACATTGCTCTGTAGATAGCACACAATAACCCTTCTCCCCCTCGACGACCGATCCAATCTGAGTCTTACGCCAGTCCGGGACGACGTCGATCGAAATACTCGAACGATTCATTCCTGCGGCACCGGCCGGAAAGCGAGTCGGAAATCCTCCCTCCTTGGGAATGCTGCGGGAACGCTCCGTCACGGATTGGTGGATTACAGAGCAGAATCAGACTACTCCGATGGTGAAATCAAATCACTGGAGCTCTGTGTCTCTTTCCCATCTTCTCGTTGCTTGGTACTGACAAATGGCAGGAATATATTATTCCAGAGGGTGCCAGTCTACGAGCAATGCAACCAAAAGTATGTCTCACAATGTTGAGTAGCCCATTAGGCCTGGGACGCGCGGTGAATAATCACCGAGGGTGAGGACTTCTTTTCCAGTATCTTCTCTTTTCAGAAAGAGACTATCGTCGAATACCGCGAAAGGCAGACACCGTCAGGTGAACATCTTGATCAATGTGGAAATTTGCGCTGCTCTCAGGCTCGAGTAACTGCTTGCACTCGACGAAAGTCGAATCAATAGTCCTCATAGACGATTAGTCAAGCAGAAACGCACCCACGTCTCTCTAGTATATGAACACGTTCACAGACGCGATATGCCGGGATACTCGTGGGGGAGGTTCTTCCGAGTGAAAAGAGAGTCGATTCCCCGAGCGCATTTCCGCTGGTTTCACTTCGGGATGGCGTTCTATGGCAGCAAGCTCACAACAGCTACGAGATGGTGCCTCGGGACGCAAGACCGCGTATTTCTGTAGCGAAGGGAGATCGTGCGTAGACGCGACGACGCGCGGGAGGTCGGTCCGATCCCCACTGCGGGCCGAAATTTAGGTCCCTGCCTTCCATTTGGGACCATTTTTCAGCTCAAGGTTTCCGTACTTGGACAGCCTAATCGGTGATATCCGGGAGATCTAAATCTGGCTGTTGGGGAAAAGCCCAGCCCCCTCGAGGACCGTATAGAGACCCTCATGTGGCCGAAAGAAGGTACGACGTGTCAAGAAACAGAATTTCGGCTCGTAGGAGCGCACGTCGTCGGTCTGGACACTGCATCGATAGGAAAAGCACCGAATTCGAGAAGTTCGATAGCGGAGCATTTTCGTCACCAGATCGAGGGCTTCTTCCGAGGAGCTGCCACGTGATACAATATATTAAGAATTTCAGAGTCCGGATCGCCCCCAAGAGGCCGCGACATTCCGATCTCGTGCGGGTGTATCTACCGCCTACCAGCACTCAGAGGAATCTCCGATCGATGCGGCGGCCCCAAGGAGGATCGCTGTATCGACCGTCATCCTTCTTCTCCTGAGATATGTAGGTCATGAGACTATTTTTTCATTCGGCGATGATCTAACACGTTTTCATGATAAGTCAAACTGGCGACTGAATCTTGAACATTTCCACCGACTGAGATCACGAGGGAGTCTCAATGATCGGAAGCCGCGTAGAGAAGGCAGAAACCTAGACGAATTGTAGCGATAGCCCGATTTAGAACTCACATCGAAGATTGGGCCCCAGTGAGTGCAGCAGCGTGGCGTCGATAGCAGGTTCCTCGGCGGAACCAGGTTCGACGACGAAGCCTGCTGTCATCTCGCCGGACACCGGTACCGAAGTCGCAATCTGGTCCACCGCTGAGAGTAGGGCCCAGCCCCCGGCGCCGACACCTAGTCCTCCGAGTGAACCCACAGTTAGTCCGGGTGGCTCCACGCCAATGTTTCACGTACGTCACCAATGTTCACCGTCTCGGAGGGGTCTTCTACGATCGGATCTATGTACACCGTTGCTCCTGAGTCTTCACGTTTTTCTCTCACTTTCTCTAACACTCCACTCGTTACCGGCCCGCTGCTATCCGAAAGAAGTTGTATTGCAAGCCTTGTGAGCGCATCTGGACATCGATCAGCCGTCGCGGGATAATGGCGGGCACTGTGCGGGTGGTTGGGCCGGCTGGTGGCGGGCTGTTGTGCTCTGACCAGGTATCGAGGATCACGCTTGTTGCCTCTCTGCCAGCAATGACTCGACGACCGCACTCGGGACGGCTGATCTCTGTTCTACTCCTGGTCGTGCTCTCGACGAAATTCCTCCCGGGGGTAGATTCGAGCTCCAGAGGCGTGGCCATAAGGAGGGTGAGGACTCTCTGAGGCGAGAGGCGGGGTTTGAGGCTCCCGAAGGCTCTCGCTCCTGCTCCCGCCGCGACTGCCAGGGAAGGCAACGAAGGAACGAACAGGGACCATGTTATTAATTATGTGTTCTGAACAACAGGGAAGATAGAGAAGAGAGTTTTCCGGTCTCTCGACGAACGGACGGACGGACAGACAGACGGCTGGTTGGCCGACCACTCGGTTTGCGTCCCTCTTTGAGCGACCGTCTGCCGTTCTATCCCCCGGCACTTCGGCGTCGACGGATACGGGGAGGGCACCGGAGTATAGAGCCAGCTTATGACCTATGTAGTCGGTGGGCCGGGAATCAGCTTTTCTAAGCCGGGCAGGCGGATAGCCGGGGCAGCAGAGGAAGAGAGGATCTCAGAGAGGATCCCGTCCTTTGTGTTTCTTCTATACCTCGTCCAGGTAGCGTTCAGCTCACTTGCTGTTTCCCGATCTGCTTTGCACTCGCGCGACCGAGCGCTGGTTCTTCCGCCTGTCCGCTCGTGGGTCGTCCTCTCGTCTGTGCGCTTCCGAAAGAGACTCGAGTCCCTAACATTCGCCGTCGTTCAGGCGTCGATGGCGATACGCTACATCTCTATGGTGACCGTCGGGCGGACCATCCACAGGGGGCTCAGGAAGATGTAACTGAAATGATTGGAGGGCGAACAAACTCGGTGAGTGGCAACAGCCGTCTTTTTGAGAAATGAAAATTCGGGATGCGACCCCCTGGACAAGGGGAGGAATCGGAATAATGAACTCTGAATTGATTTCCTGGTTACTTATTCGTTGATGTGTCAGAGAATGCCTTCGGAAGGAAATATCATAGAACATGGTCCGCATCGGAGCCAACCTCAGCGTGCCTATCTATAGTACAGATGATCTAGATGACTATATGAATAGATGAAATGTCTGCCTGCGTGTTGTGTGAACCCCATGGATTTCCAGAAGGCTTGACCGATCGGCGTGAAAAATTCACAGGCTGGTTGTCCGCGGGAGCTGCGGGAAGGTCACAGGATTGTCGCAGTTTTCATTCGATGGGTCCTTCTAACTTGAAAGGTCGTCTGAATGCTCCACCCTGAAGGAATAGAACCGTAGGAAAAACGGGGAAGTGGATATTCGCGAAATTCTTGGAGGGCTGGCGCGATCATTCCTCAAACTCGGGGGTCGATTCTCGAGCTCGATGAGCGAGCTCATTGAGGGTTGCTGTCATCATTCGACGGTGCCTACACCCATGAATTTCGATGAAAGTTCTTGTAGCCGTCTTAGATTATGGATTTACAGGGTGCATGTGGAACAAAAACGGGGAACCGGAAAGCAGGGAAACGGCGAAACAGGGAAGCGGGAGAATGGGGAAGCGAGAAACAAGGTGAACCGGGCGGCGGTGACGCGGGGGCTGGGAACGGGAAAAGAGAAATCCGGGGAATGGGAGAACCGGGATAGGGGCGGAATGAGAGGGCGCATTTCGGAGGGAATCAAGGAAAGGGAAATTTGGAATACCGGAGACCAGGAATACGGGTCAACGGGGACGTTAGAGACTACGGGGTACAGAAGCCGGGTAGCGGAGACACGGGGAAACGGGGTGAGGGTGCACTAGGCGGAGGGGGTAATGGCGATGCGGTATACCAAGGAACCCGGTGGAGACGGGGGAAATAGAAATTGCGGGGAAGCTGGGAATGATCATGACGAGAGGAGAGAAAATGACGGGGAAATACATCTGAGAACAGCTGACGAATAGCGAGCGCGCGCTTAGCGAGGGCCTCCGGAGCAAGCGCACACATCCCGAGCGTTTCCGGATTCCGGACCAAGCGCACCGGGAGCGAACGCACCCACAGCGAGCGCATGTGTAGAGAGTTCAGCGCTCCTGAGTCGAAGTCGCGGCGAAACGGTTACCGGGAGTGCCAGCAATGACATGACTTCATAAATATTACACCTGAGCATGCTCGTCCATGTTTCGAGCCCCAAAAACCTGCCCCTTTGTTAGAGTCTGCTTGTATGTTTGAGGCTGCCTATCTATTTTCCCCATTCCCCGGGATGAAGGTAGAGCAAGGTTTTTTTCGAGTACAAACACCGCGGGATCCCTCGTATCATACAAATACGGAGGATACAGAGTCCCATACGTGGATCGTTCTGACAGTCTCTCGGAAATATACACCCGACTTGGGGCTCCGGGAGTTGCCCGCTCATCAGAGACTGCTGGTGTTTTTGGGCCTGCTCTTCCATATTCTCGAGCCCCCAGAACCTGCTCCTCTATCGGAGGAGCTATGTCCCAGTCCCAGACTGCTCTCCAATTAGAATATTCACGGTGATTTCCAAACAAGCGCTTCACGGTAGAAGAGGGGTGGTCCATAGCGAAGTCGGGTGGGGTTGCCTACGATTACTGCTCTCGTGCCGTAGTATTAGTCTCTGTGACTCGGGTATATTCCATGAGCCACTTAGGGTCAACACTCAATAGCAGTGGCGGATTTACGAATTTGCTGCCCCCAGTCTTAATCAGGACCGCCGCCTTGATACAACCCATATAGGAATGGATACCGATTCTTACCGGCGCTCGCACCAAGTTGCCGTTCTTGTCTTGGTCTAGAATGATTTCACTGGATTGTCGAGAACCACAGAAGCATCAAGCAGGAAGTCGCCACCCTCCGAAATCTGCCGCCACAGTTGACAGTCTCCTAAGCCTACTGGGCAAATTCGCCACTGCTCAATAGTGAAGCGGTCTCGAAACTCCGGACTATTTCGTCTCGTGTGGGCGCTTTACAATGATCAGACTGAGCGGAATACGCGAGAAAATGTTCCTCAGTCTTCCCGTGTGGGGTCGGAGGAGGAGACGAATGACTTGAATGCTTTTCCCGGAGCAAGAGGATAAGCTTGGAGCACAGCATGCATTGCAGCGCACGAGGAAAACCACAAAGACTGCGGGTGGCTGAAGAGGAGTGGCCGACTTGGGTGGATCGCTTAGTTGCTTGAGAAATTGAAGCGGTCGAGAACAACGGAAAGGCATGATCAAAGGGTGGAAAACATACAAGCCAATGAAAGGGGAGTTGCATCTGCCCTCCGTTATCCTTGATGAATGAACGCCCATTTCATGGAGGGTTGAGAAAAAAAGGAGGACCATCCTGTTTTGGGACGTATCGATAAGCTGAAACGTCTAGGTCCGGCGACCTTCAATCTGGCGGATGAAGCTTTCCAGATGGAGACAGGCATCGAGGCGTTGTACATGGCGACACGAATTAAATTCGGCTCCTCAAGAGCTGGCTCGCAAGCCCGAATTCGATGCCAGACGGCTGAAGGAAGAGAATAAAGCCAAGTCGGAGTTGGCAAGGCTGTTGGGAAGCCTACGGACGTTCCGAAGAGCGACCGCAAACGGGGGGCAACCATTAGGCAGAGTGAAACGGGTGCATAATTCACAACACTTTTTACCACCAGACCAGCGCCGGCTTGCTCGGAGAGGTCCCTTTTGTCGGAGCCTGTTGGGTCGCCCGCGACACAGAGCTCGTCTCGTTCATGTCCTCCTGAGTGTGCTCTTGACGCTCATGAAACTCCTCGTGTTCCAGGAGACGAACGCAACTTATAATTGTTCTCGACTGATGTTTAGCTTCTTATTTGGAGCCTTCATTTATCGGAGCTCTTCCCTCTGGATCGTTCTCGGCAGAGGGAACTTCCGAGTCAGGAGAGGAACAACCACTCGCGAATACCAAGAAACCGCCGATAGAGGGTAAGTTACACGAGCGGAGCGTATGTACACACTGGGCCGAAATTGTGACTAAAGGCTACCCGGCTCCGATACTAATTGAATTGTTGACTCGATCTACCCCACTTGACCTCAGTTCTTCCTCGACTTTCACCGATAGTTAGTGTCTCCGGGAAGTGGACGATATCTCCAGCCATTCCTTCCCTCCGATTGAGGAAGACTCGTAGGAGACCCCACGAGCGAGTCGTTCTTCTCTCAGACCCGACGACCGTCCCACGCCGGTTTCGCAGAAGCGAGCATCGTCGCTGACCGAATGGTGAAGTCGCGGAATCCGAACCTCCCCGAGAGAGCACGATCCCAGCAATGGATTTGATAAGCGACCGTGGCGAGGATGGAACCTCAGCCTATTGCTTCGTTCAGCCTATTATCGCCTGAGAGCAAGTGCAAGGTTGACAGGTGTGGAAACAGATGACAGTCTGCTCGGAGTCCTCCTTCGGCGAACGGTGTGCCTATCTGTCTTGCCGACTCCTGACCACCATCTCCTGTCCTCCTACTTTGTCCTTGGTGTCGTTCGGAGTTGCGAATAGACGAACGAGGTGAGACGATGGAGGAGACAGGCTCGGGCAGTAGATGGCCCGCCTGCCCGCTCGAATGTCCGTCGAGCGCTCGTTCTTGTGGTCTTCGGTCGGCGTTGACTTCGAGCTTCGTCAGCCGCGCTTAGCCACCCGCAAGACCTGCTCTATCCCGTTCGCACATGGATG